AATCTTATACAGGGTGTCATAGAACAAACTACTTTTACAAACAAGAAAACAGTTTTTACGGCTTGAACTCAGAAACAGAAGAGCAAGCGTAGATAATATTTTCTGCATAACACATCTAAGTGAGAAAATGTTAGCTATAAGTGGGGAGATATATTGTAATCGCAAAACATTTTCTGATGCACGTCATCAATCATATCGACATTGACAGTCTGTAAACCTGACTAAATAAATTTTTGTCAAAAATGTATAAAATTGTTGTATAATTTAAGATGCCGAGCAGCTCTTCATTTCACATTGCACCGTTTTCAGCAAGGTTGTCGTTTATTATTTTACAATTATCGTAATGTTAGTCATTCTTTTGTATAATATCGTGTTGATATTGAATCTGTGAGTAATTCTCGTTTTTTCGCCTATTTTAAGTACAAACAGTTCTTTTAAGAACCAAATTTTCGAGTTCTTGTATTGCATTTCTTGAAATTGTGTGTTGAAAATATGCCGAAGCATTTAACAGTCGAAGCTAGTCATGATGCTTTGGAAGAGGATCTGTTATTTTCGAAACAGTTTGTTTTGGAACTAGCTTGAAACAGGTTCATGTGCTATCCTGTACCAGTTCCATTTCCAACTGTTCTAGCTGTTTCAAAACACTGCGGCACAAATTAGCACAGCAAAATATATATAAAGACGAGTGTAACTGGAACTGTTTTATTCATGTGGAACAGTTTGGGGCTTGGAACAGTTTGAGACTTGGAACAGTTTGGGACTTGGAACAGTTTGAGACGTGAAACAGTTTGAGACTTGGAACTGTTTGGTACAGTTAACTAAAAAGAACTGGTTTGAGGTTGAGAATCGCAATAGTTTTTTTGAAAAATACAGTGTAGAAACAGTTGGTTATTGTATTTTATAATAAATATAGTACATATAATTTAAACGCTTCCAAGAATGTATTTTTTAAGTATATAACAGAATTATAAATCTTTATTTATTCACATACAGAATGAGTCTTAAATAAGTGCACATATTTTTAGGGGTGGTATATTTCGATTCTCATGAGGTTTTTTCGCGAAAAAATGTTTTTGAAAAGTTTATATTTTTCGAAAATTTGTTGGGATTTTTTTAAAATGTTTAGTTAAACATATTACAACAAACCAGAAATAGGGATAACCGAAACTTAATGGTACTAGTACGGTATTAGTTTACGTTTTGGAACAGTTTGGAACTGGAACAGGTTTCTTGGAACAGGTATCTTTTGCAACTGGAACAGGTTGTACCTTTTATTAAAAAATTGCTGTTCCGGCCATGACTAGTCGAAGCAAAGAGCTTGTAGCTTCCCTAATAAACTATTTTGAACGAGAACGTGACAATAAAGGCCCTTTATTACCCTTGACTGCAGTCAGGGAAGTAAGTTTGATTGGTCAGCACATTACACCACTTTCAAAGTTATTTCTACGTTAGTTTTTTTTTAATTCTGTGATTATTAGTTTCTGCATTAATAGCACCCCCTCTTATCACTTATGGCGTTGTAAGGTGTACAAAATAAATAAATAAATAACCCATAATAACGCTTAGAATAATCTTCATATAGGACTAGTTTTTGCCAGTATGTAATAAGTAAAATAAGCTATAAAACAAATAAATCAGTTAATTACTAAAATTCTAGTTATTAAATTAAAAATACAGGGCAACGGCCTAGCTACGTCGAAACACCGGTTCCCATTAGATCACCGAAGTTAAGCGACGTAAGGCGATACTAGTGGATGGACGGGTGACCGGTTCAAAACACTGTATCGTGCTGTTGCCCAATAAAGGCAAAAGTGTAAAACCTATTGACACACACTGCTCATTCACGCCGCGCCGGTTTGAGGTCCGATGAGATCGGATATCTCGTGAGTAAGAGTCGATTTAGACACTTGCCAAGTCGGTAGGCCATTGACCATGATATGGCCGAGGACCGCGGTTCGGATTCCGCGTAAACAAAGTAGGCCGCGTCCAGATTAGCCCTGGCAGCAAAAAGGAGACGTTAACTTCAAATCTTTACTTTACTTTTAAATTAAAAATAAAACGTAAAAATCTTTAAAAAATGATATAATGATAAATGATAAATCTTTAAAAAAATATTTTCTTGCTGGGTAAACTATAGACACCCTGTATCGAGACAAACTGTATGCATATCGTCTAGTCCAGATGAACGAAGATTTGGGTTATTTAACGGTGAAATAATAAAAGATCATAAGGTAAACAAAAATGCTTTTGTTCCGAAGCGAGCCAGAATCGGAACGCGACCATAATTAGATAATAATAACAAGTTGTTTCGGGTAGGTACTGCACGAGGTGAGTACCGCCATTATTCAGATGAACGGTAATTTTCATCTAGGAATTTGGAACGAGCTTAATGTTTGTAATTACGAAGCAAAGAATGCCGTTCATTGAAAAGAAAAAAATATATGGATTATTGAAAAGCAGTAATATTAAAAAGAAATTCAGTTCGTCTATAATAGCTCACAACATACAGTGGGTTTTATCATCAACAGGGATACACACTCAGTAGGTTTTATTATGATGTATCGTATAATACTACTGTGAATAGTACTTATATTGTTTTATTGGAGTAAAATGATACTTTCTAAGGCGAGTAGGGATGCTCGGTTTAAATCGATTCTTAAGAAAATCGATCTTTTGACATACGATTCCCGATTTTTTGAATCGATTAATCCAAAACCGATTTTATACAGGGTGTTTCAAAAAGCATGTGCCATCTATCGTGGAGAGATTCCTTACGTAAAAATAAGATTTATTTTTCATATCAACATAAGTCCGATTCTGCTTTATTTCGTCGCTACAGGGTGTTAAAGTTTAAAAAATTTTTCGATTTATTATAATTTTCTTTCAAGGACTTTTAGCGTTTCGAATGAAATTTTGAAGGTAAAAGTTATTATAAATGCGACATATTTTAAAGCTAAAAAGGTGTCGACATATTCACCAAGGACGTGCATATGGGTTATTACTGGAATATTTTTCTAAAAATAGCATGTACGCCATTGACTTTTTTTTCTCTTGTTAGCAAAATAGTGTAAGCAGTTTAATGCCGATTAAAAGTTGTTTCTTAATATTTTGTCGATTTCGGCCTCCTTGATGAGAAACGCAATTTTATTAATTTGCCTTGATCCAAGTCAAATAGCTTAAAAAAAAATAATATCATTAACTTGCAGAAGTTTTAAATAAGTACTTGTTGATTCCTAATCAAAACATATGAAAAAAAGTTCCTATAAACATGGGTTTGGAAATGCTTAGTTTTAGAGTTACAGGATGGAGTACAGTATGTTAAAATTTTTTAAAATTAGGTTTTTTTGTAATTATCTTAACGATGTACTTAAACAGCCGTTAAACGGTAGCCTACTAAAATGGCGTTAATAGATATTGTGACGTCGTTCATGTCGGCGGAAAGTAATGCCTAGCCTTAAGCATTTTGCAAGAGCACCTGTGGGTCAGTGGCTGAGGCTATCGCTTCGTAAGCGAATGATATAGCGTGATCTTATTGCATTGGTTTCACTATTTTTGGTTGAATTGGTTTAGTTATTTAGCGGGTTCGTTAGCGTGGTTATTTGGAGGCTGTTAATTCATTGGTTAGTTGGTTATTTGGTGGGGTTGGTTGATTTTTACTAATTTATATTTGTTTTTTATATTTTTTATCAGTTTCGAGGTTAGTTGCGTTGGTTAAGTTGGTTATTTGGTGGGGTGGATACCGTTGGTTAGTCCTTATAAAATTCCTATATTTCATAAAGCTGTCAAGTGCGTCACATCAACGACGTCATACCTATTAACGGCATTTTAGTAAGCTACCGTTTAACGGCAGTTTAAGTACAGCCTTATCTTGCCTATAATACCATTATTTTTTTATTTGAAATTGCTGTAGGTTGGGCTAATATTTTAGTAATTAATAGTAATAATATTTAATAATAAATTAGGTAAAATATATAAATTATTAATTTTATTTTTATTTTAATTTTTTAATTGTGATAACTAAATTGCGTTTATCTCATCAAGGAGGCTGAATTCGCCAAAACACCAAGATATAACTTTTACTTAGCATTAAACGGCCTACACAATTTTGATATCAAAAGAAAAAAGTCAGTGGCGCTCATGTTTTTTTTTTGAAAAATATTCCAGGGATAACTTATATGCACGCCCCTGATGAATTTATCGACACTTTTTTAGCATTAAAATATGTCGCATTTATAATAACTTTTATCCTCAAAATTTCATTCGAAACGCTAAAGTACTTGGATGAAAATTATAATAAATCGAAAAAATATTAAAACTTTAACACCCTGTAGCTACGAAATAAAGCAGAATCGGACCTATGTTGATATGAAAAATAAATCGTACGGAAATTTTTTCTTTAAGTTCATCAGACCACTCAATTAATGCTTCCTCAAAATTAGCGTTTCAGTGAGGCAGACTTTTTACACTACCCACCATCCTAATAATGTAACATTCTTGGCGTGGTGGTGCCACACAGACCCCAACGAAACTTTAGCCCCCGCTGGTAGGGCTGGTAGGAACAATACTTGATAAAATCAAGTGCGCCTTTAACAGTTGCATATTGGTACCCTAACTTAAAGGTAAATGGCGCGGCGAGGCCTAATTCTTAAAGGCAAACATTTTACAGAGGTTTAAATAGTGCTTGGGGTCACTTGCCACTTGCCACAATACCACTTGAGGTCCACACAAAGTGTAAAGTGTTATATTTTTTTACTTTTAGTAGAGTGTATAATAATGTACCTAATTTTTGATTACTAGTGTGGTCGTAATTAAAATAATATACAAACCTCCAAGGAAAGTTTTAATTATTACTGTCTCGAGATTTAGTTACACTCTCGACATTAATGGAACACTTCCTTACACAGTACGCAATATACTATTTCTTTATGTTTCCGCACTGGTATCTTCCGATATTACACCAACAATCTTCTTCTAATGAACCAACCTGGTTGTTTATTTAGGTGCTGGTATGCGTCCACGCGGTCATAACGACGGACAAGGCTCCCGAGGCGCGCAGAGCGGCCGTTACCGTTATCAGACAGCTGCTGGCCGGCCTGGAAAGCGAAACGATCGCCTTCCTCAAGGAAGACATCCTGCCGATTTATCGCACCCTCAAGCAGATCTATCGCGACGATAAGGATGACGTCATGAGGTGAGTTGAATAGACTTAAGATCTGATTAAGCGGATTTTCATGCGTCCGATATCCGACTGTACGATATTAATTTTATTGGTTGAATTTAAAGACTTTGATTGGTTTGAAAATTCCATAGCTTTTAAATATTGAAAATTGTATTTTTCAATCATATCAGTTTCTTTTTGTCCTATACAGTTTATCCCAAATAAACTTTTAGCCACGTGATTAAGCTTGACCGGCACAGCGTTGCCCACTTTTATATATTTTCTTTTAATCAAAATATTTTAGGAAACAAAAGTAAATTAATTATAAATATATAACCAGTTATTATTTACATCAAGAAAACTCACCTTCTTAAAAGCACTTAAGGGTCATTACTACAGCCGTGTTGGTACCCGGACGGCTCCAAAAACGAAAAAGGATCTGGCGCAGGAATTTACTGCAGCAGTCCAAAGACTGAGATCTATCACAGTCTTGGAAAACACAACACAATTTTCCAAGCTGAGCTATATGCTATTGAAACTTGTGTGCAACTGCTGGTAGAACGGCAATATACCGGGAAAACAATATGCATATTTTCAGTCAAGCCGCGTTGAAAGCACTTGAGGCAACGAAAAGCACGTCTATGACGATTCTTCATTGTAAGATGATAACTACTCAATATATTAGGAGATAGGAACAAGGTGTCGCTAATATGGATACCGGGACATGTCGGCCTAGAGAGAAATGGACGTCCTGATTCCTTTGCCAAAATTGGTGCAGGGCCGCCATTCGTGGGCCCAGAACCGACACTGCATTCCAAAAAATCTCGCAAGAGACTGGCTCTGCGAATAGGTTAGGGGTGTGATCGGCGTTCCGGGACTGGAATGACAGTTCCGGAATGGAACATGCCAAGTAAATCTTAGTAGGGCCATCCAAATATAGAACAAGAGAACTCCTAAAGGTGCAGTGTACACGGGCCACTACCGGCTGAGATCACACCTACCTATAGAGGATGGGACTGGTGGAAGACGCCGAATGCCGACTCTGTATGGAGGATGACGAAACAATGAAGGCACGTTATGTGTACCTGCCCCGCTGGGGGCAGGATCAGGTTTGAGATGTTTGGCAAACCCATGCTAGACCTATCAGACCTAGGAGACATAAAGGAAATCACCCTCGGACATAAAGGCCTATGTTAAAAGGCTAGGTCTGGAGAGTGAACTTTAATGCTATTTTTCTATTAAAGAGCTTGTAGAAACTGACCCGAATAGGCACTCGCGGCCGCACTCTTAGTCAAATACAATACAGCCTTCCCGTTCAAAATATTCTAATAAAGTTTCGATGAATTTCTTACGAATATTAAGCTATCTTGTATACTTCGCACTAAAAGAGGTTCTATAAAGAACAATATTCGACTGCAAGGTCTACTAGTAAACATTTTCAAGCCTAAGGTATTACCAACACTATTTATTTAAACCAAAAACTCGTAATACAAAACTAAAGTGTTAAAACGAATGACAATGTCAGGAAATAAATAAATAAATGCGGCAACCTGACATTTTTTACAGCAGAGCTACCACCTGTATCCCTAGCGGAAAATTTAAATTCCAGTTAGTCAGTCCAGTGCCGAATATGTCCATGGTTGGCAACAATGAATTTAAAAATTGTGCCCTCGATTACGTAATTAAAAGTTTAATTGATATGAAATATAGACTGATAATTGTGTCTATTGTCAAAGATAAAGTGGTGGGGAAGGTTATATATTTATTTTTCATTAATAATGTTGATATTGTTTTGGACGAATAGATTGTTATCATCTTTGTATCGAAAAAAGTGCTTTTTTTGCTTTACTTGTGGTATTATAAACAAAACGCTAATTGCTTTGTCAGTGGTCTCTACATGGAGTCGTTTCGAAATTATCCCAATAATGCTGATTTTCTAAAAAAAACAAATTGCTATGATTTTTGTATCGCAATTTATTTTGTAGTTGCAGGGTCATTAAATAGTGAAATAAAACAACCAGAGCTGTGTATTTAAATTAGGAATGTTGATGATGGTGGAAATCGAGAAAAAATGACAACGACAAAATTGAAATTATTTTCATCTATTTTTTCTAAAGTTCTAAAATTTTAGGAAAACAAAAAACTGGAAGAACAAGGTTTTTAAGTTTTCCCAAAATTTTATTAAGATAAGTTATAGAGGGAGGACTAAAAAATCTAAAATAAACTTATTAGACATATGAACGGAATACATTAAATATATTTTAATTTATTTAGAAATAACGAACTACACAAACAAAAAATAAGCGAAGAAACTTCAGTGACACTTACTGGAGCATGATGCTCACTCATTATGCAGTGCTTACATGATCCTTACATAACGTTGGGAAACCAGATATACCACTAAGAAAAACGATTTTTTTCCTTTTTTTTCTCACAATATAGAATATATAAATAGCCGTATCAGTGAGAGAGTCGCAGATATTTATACACTTAGTTACCATTCTGACCTGAAATAAGAAGATGATATTGGAGGGAGGCGATGGGTTACCCCATTAAATTTTAAGTGGTTTTATATGTATCGCGTTAATACGAAGACGAGTTTTTGCCAAACGGCGATCGTGTGACAGTAGGTTAGGCCTAGATATTAGGGCTTTGGGTGAATGGAATACTAATTAAAGTTTATGTTTGCCAGTTTTTCAGTAGAAATATTTTATCTACGAGGTGGTCCAATTTTTTTAATTCAAACTAGCGGTTCTGTAAGCCCTAGAATTCTATTTAGAGATGTATCTCAATTTCGATATTCTAATAGTGCTCTATCTACATTCACTTCAACTGTTAAAAAACTATTTAAAATATAGCATAGGTACAAATAAATTTATATGGGTTAAAAGGGTTTTGAAAAAACTACAAAAAAATTAATATACCGTACTGGCAACTATTACTTTTGGGTCGGTCGGTACTTACATGTGTGGAAGTAAATCGCATAGGGATCTTATTAAGTCGGAGTGAGAGAAATGTGACGGTGTGCTGTTGCGGCGTTGCCGGTACGCCTTTCCCTATTAGGTAAAGTAAAATCACGACCGCAAACCGCTTATTTTTAGCTTAATTATACTGACCACCATCAATTTTTTTAACACTGACTTTTTAACAGGAATTTCTTATTTCCTTTTTTAAAAATGTTTCACACTCAAAAAATGTTTTTTTACCCATAATAGTCAAAGTGATCCGTATATCCATCTTTCTCCAATACATTGCTTCTCATTGGATTATTCTTTATTATACATTTTTTAGACAGGTGTGCTATCCGGTTCCAATACTGATTTTACCGCCAGTCTCCTTTCAGTGTCGGTCAGTCATAATTTAAATTCGTCGTCAACCATATTTTCTTGTTTTGTATTTTCCTAAGAAGTTAGTTGTTTCACGTTACAGGAGAATAGCCATTCTCCAAGAGTATCTTTTTTTGTGTGATTCTATATTGTTAAGTGTCCATTTCACTAGTCCGAAAAAGTAGCAAAATAAGCGTTCGGCATTTAACGTTTTATGTCAAACTGGCTAGGTATTTTTACACAAATGAAAAAGGAAATTAAAGATAAAGGATTATACTATATCCGTATTATATCACATTTTTAGACAACTTTTTATTTTTAAGATTTTGATATTCGACATCAACAAAATATTTCTTATGTTTGGACTAAATTTTCTGGAAAATAAAGACAATTTAAAATTCCGTTACAATACGGAAATAGATTGAAGTTTTGTGATTACAGTGATATATAATTTACATGGTTTCGTAACAAATTGCTCCCTATTTTATGGCAAATGCTTAAGCTCTGCAAACCTTAATCAAGCCTTAATCAAAACACGTTTGTTTGGAATTTTGGGTGTGGCTTAACACGACAGGATCGGGCTAAGCCTTAGGCAGATTTCTGAAATATAATATATATTTTCTTCGGCCACACACCCGCTTTACCCGACCCCTGAGAGCGACCTGAAAGTACAGCGTAATAGACTCTTAAGGAGTATAATATAATAAGAATCTCGTTCGAATCGTTTTTTTTATATTATGCCTTAAATAATAAAGATACCAAATATAACACTCCCGTACGATTTTCTATACGGTTTCAATATTTTTATTAGCTAGTATCTAAGGTCAATGTATCTTATAGTAATTGTTTCGTATGCGCCTTTCAATTTTAAAGTCGGTAGTGATACATAAATAACTAAATAATTAATAAATAAGTAAATTAATATGACAACAAGCCATCGTTAAGAGAATACAATACGTTATACTCTGCAGCCACACAGCTGATCGTTTTACTGTATTTTATTTTTTATTTTAGTAGCATTTCTTTTAATAAAACCGGAAGTTTTCCTTGACACGAATTTTTAGGCGCTAAATTATTTAATAATTATCTTATTATGTTGTTTGCAGGTTACAAGCTCAACTGGCATTGGAAGAATTAAACGAAAATATGAAAAATTTCGTGTTTCCCAAACCACAACTGAGTATGGAGAAAAAAATAATTATGCTGGACTAAAATTGTATATGATAGAAAAAAAGGTAATTAATGGGAAACTGGAAATCGTCCGATTTTCACCAAAATTGGTATACACCCTATTTTGAGGTCGCAGATTACGAATCTGAATTGGTCTTTTTTTCTTGGCGGTCTCTTACCGTTTTTCAGAAAAACGGAAAATAATTTCAACGTTGAATTTTTCTTTATTTCGATCCTATAAAGTAATAATTTCACTATCTTTTCATTATATTATAGTTTATCTAAAAGCCACACTTGGTTGAGGATAGAAAAATGTCCAAAATTTTACTGAAAAACACTTTTCTTAACAAAATAACAAAGAAAATTGAGACCAGATGGAAGTTTGACATTTCACATATTCTTCTTTCTCTCTACTATGTAATGAGAGAGACAAATATATTCTAGACCTAATCTAGAGAAATTTGAAAATTTACAACGTTGCAATATCTTCTATTTTTTCGGGTGATTAGGCATTTTAAATAAATTACCTATTATGAGATTGACAATAGTTAAATATACCACCTATGTATATCCACAAAGTTACGCGGAAGAGTTTTGATTGCATTGGTTTGTTATTTTATTGTTATATTATACCCAAAAAAAAATAACCCCCTCCGCAAAGAAGTTATATAAAGACTATTTATAATCACGAAGTTGCGCGAAAGAGTTTTGATTGTATTGGTTTCAACTTCTTTGCAGAGGAGGTTAATCTTTTTTTGGTATAATACAACAACAAAAGATTAACACCCTCCGCATGGAAGTTGTAACCAATGCAATCAAAACTCTTTCGTGCAACTTCGTGGTTATAGTCAGATCTCGTTGGTAGAATAGCAGTTATGGGAAGGAGCCGTTCTTCTGGCGACCGCCTTTCATAATTCCAGAATGAGCGAAAAAATACGCTAAATTTAGGTTTAGCATTGGCAACGTTGCTTTAAATGCCAGAAACACATAACCCAATATTTTCAGATTGTTTACAAATTTATTTTAGCAAATTTTCTTCTATTATGCATAGAATTGGTTAAAAAAGTAACAGAAAATACCAAAAACATCATTGTTTATTGAATACCTAACAAAATATATGCTAGAAAACCTTAAAAATATAAGAAATTAAGAAAAATTCGATGTTGAAATGATTTTTCGTTTTTCTGCAAAACGGTAAGAGACCGCTAGAAAAAAGTTCAGATTCCTAATCTACGACTTCAAAATAGTATACCAATTTTGGTGAAAATCGGACGATTTCCAGTTTTCCCAATAATTACCGAAAAAAATTGTGATACAGAGGTAATTATGAAAAATTGACATAAAAAGTTGAAAAATATGAATATTTTTATCTACACTAACAAATAGGTATGTTTTTTTATAATTGTATAATTTTTTACATAACTATGATCAGAAAACGAATATTTTTGGTATGCTTCTATTTTTTATAATATATAAAAAATACATGCAAGAAAAAATAATCTAATGAGTAAGGGTAAATTAAATAAAACGTTGTAAATATTTGAAAAATACTATTTATTAATAAAATATGGCTTAAAATATTACTATATTTCTTATTAATATACCCGAAATTGCATACTATACCCAATGTTCAATATTACTATAACATTCTTGATGCTTATGAATACTAATTTTAGATTTTCATAGGTATGTTTTTAAATATTCTTCGTTATTTCTATTGAACACTTGGTATATAACGAATGCAAAAATATGCAACTCCCACGATTTCCCAATAAAGGCTATGTTATTCAAGCAGTCTTTAACATTAACTCACCATAATAGTTGGACATACAAATTGTTTTTTTTTATAAAATTATAGATATCTAAAAAATAATAGATTGTCATTTGAAAATACCTAGCGATAAAATCAATTTTTTAATCATCTTTTTTTGAAAATAAAAAATGGTTTGTCTTTGACTTTTTACTAGTAAGCGTTTGTTAAAAGTGAATGATCAAAATCCAAATAAGTGTATTTCATACAGGGTGGTCCGAACTGTATTCCGGAAACTTTGGTAGCATATTCTGCAGATAAATATAAGTAAAAAAGTTCGTATAAATGTATGTCCTAAATTGCTTAGTTTCGGAGATACAGGGTGTAGAAGTTTCATTTTTATTTCGATTTTTTCCAAATAATTTCGGAAGTAACGTCAATATTTGGATGAAAATTGGTGTCTGAGAGTCTTTTGAGATGAGAAATTTGATTTGGATGTAAATATGACTCCTATCTGTAGGGGGCGCCACCTACATGTGTTTTAACTGTTTTTAAGAGTAATAACTTTTCGTTCGTACCTGTATGAAACTACTGAGTTAAAAATATACATTTCCGGCGTTTTTTTTACGTAAAAAATGTCTCTTGGTAAAAATCGCTACGAGCAACCGTTCTCAAGATTATATAGAACGAAAATAGTCAATACGTGTCGTTAATACAAAAAATAAATACGTTGAATAGATAGTTATTTGACTGAATTGATAAATTTGGGAACTTTTTTATTTTTTAAATTAATCATAAATTTTTCTTCGAAAAAATGACGATAAAACAGTTTCTGTTGTACTTTTGACAAAATAATTTCAAAGTTATGATTTCAGTCTAATAACTATTTAGTCAACATGTGTGTAGTGACCAAAAACAATTTAATACGTCAATCAATCCTAATTTATGTCATATACTAACATACCAAACCTCGTTTTTTTATCTGAAAAAAAAAGTATAGGGGTGAGCCACTTTTGAGACGCACCCGGTATATATACTAAACTATCGACTGTAGAATTCATAAAACAATCCATTATTTTTAGGTTTCAGCGAGTAATAAATGTTTTAGAGAAAAAAACTTTTTAAAAATATATTGATTTGAAAATATATTTTAAAGGTACGGATTTTACTCTCAAAAATTGTTTTAACTAATTTTATTTTTGAGGTGTCCAAAAATAACTTAACTAGGTATAGTAATTTATTTTTATATGTAGTTCTATATATAAATTAGACAATTACATATTCTAATAACTTTGTATATAAGTTAATTTGATGTGACAAGAAGGAAATCCAATTCCATGTTTCTAGATTTATAATACTAATATAAATATACAATCCAATTTAAGAATTTTAGCCGCAAGAACATAGAAAATTTACAAGCTTGTGTCTACACTGAAAATACACTTTCTTTTTCAAAATATAGATAAATACGATTAAAATGCAAAACAAAACACTAAATCACTATAAACTGACAGTTTATAATCATCTGCTGATGATGCTAACATGGTTAGCGAAACGCGCATCCAGTGTAAAAGTAAAAGTGTTTTGGTGATTGTGGTGATTTAGTGTTTTATTTTGCTGTGTAATACCAAAGGTTCCAACCTTCAACTGTAACGATTAAAATGACTCACAATAATATAGATACTAACATAATATCTATTTTATTTTTCTTGATAATTGAATCTAATCATTAGTTTCCAAGTTTTTTTCATTAGTTTTATTTTTTTCAATATAAATATCCCTTCAAGCAATTAAGTTTAAGAATTCCTTTAATCAAGTTGAGAAAAATATGTACCACGGCACTGTTTGGAGCCATGGTAACAATTTGGTCTTAGGTGTTATATATCCTTGTATTCTTTAGTCATTGCCTGCGAGTAAAAAAGACAGACAACAACTGTCACTGTCATGTATTTTCTCAGTGGACAGACATAAAATTCGTTTGAAACATATTTTTTTGATAATTGTTATACCTATTCTCCAGAAAAAAAAATATTTCTTTATAAAAAATTATGCATTTTTCAAGAAATAAATATATTGTTTGATAATCTATCAATTTTTTTTTAAATTATTTATCAGTGATGTCTCACAATATGAATTAATGGTTATTCTTTTAAAAATTTACTGGATATAAAAGTCTATATACCTAAACATCGAAAAATCTAACCTAAAAGCACTACTTCACAGTACAAAATAAATTATCACATTTTTAGGAATGCACTAGTGTATCGAAACATTCCACACTACCAGTTATTACACTCTCTCCTCTTTAAAATACAACACAATCAATCTCACCGTAGTTCATTTTCCTTACAAACAGGAAAAAAAAATACAAATACAAAAATGCACGAATACGAAAATTAAAACCAAATAAGAAATAAATAAACTTATCACCAAACAAAGCGAAAAAAAATCTTCACGAATCTTAGAACAAAATGTCACTATTTGCTTTCTTTATTACTTTTAATGTTTCTGGGTTTGTCTTCAATGCACATCTCCACTTCTGATACTGTGCTGCAGCTGCTAGTGGAAAGATCGGAAGCAATGGAGATGTTGTCCATTTCGTCAAGGAGTCTTTTTCCTGAGATTTTCAGGACTATGGCTGCCAGGCCGATGATTCCGGCTATGGACAGCATGGTGATGACGAAGATTGGTACTATCTGGCTTTTGTAGGGTGCTTGGGATTCAGCTATAAATTCTTCTTTTACTGTAACAAGAGGAGAAGTCAAGTTTAGTCAGTGAAATTATAATAAAGATCAGTAGGTGGTACCGCATGTAGTGATTTCCTAAGTAAGTGTGTACTGATAATTATAATATGCACAAATCAAGTTAAAAAAGTTAAAGGTATAAAGTATATTATAATATACAGTACTACAGTAGGCATAATCACAGATTAGGTATCCTATAAGTATACAGATAAAAATCTTGTCCCTAATTCGTGGTAAGAAAATTGTTTTTTATGACGAAGAGCAAACGAGTAAATTTTCTTGTGCGCAAAAATAAACTTCCGTTTAAACAGCGTAATAACTGGGCCAGTCACAAGGCCGGTCAGGCGCTGTGCACAATTTTAGAGGCCATAAATGGGCGTGCTTGTGCGCAAACTAGTAACCCAATTAGTGCGCGACTCCAAAAATTGGAACCACGAAAAACAATGCTTTTGACGATAAGTTTATAATCTGTATGATCTGTGGCATAATATACAGTACAGTACAAACTTGGGAATGTTATTTAAGTGCATACCTAAAGTATGTACTTCGGGAAAATATTTTAACTTCTATAGGGTGGTTTAAAAAAGTGTGAGTGGATCGGGATTTTTTTTAATGGAACACCCTGTATATTATTGCATTTTTGGCTTCCTTTCAAATCACGTTACATAATCCTAAGATATGAGTAAATATATTTCGATAATTTCAGAGATATTACTAAATAAATAAAAAAATATATTTTTTTGAAACTTCCTCAAAAACATTATTACAAATAATACAAGACCTGTCCTGAAATCAAAACTATATTAGATATTAACTTTAGATGGTTTGTACTTACTTTGCTATAAATATGGTAATCTTAAATCATACAGGATATTCAAAATTCTACACTAAACTTTCTAAAATATAAAATAATTTTTCTTTATTTTTTTTTAAATGGAACACCTTGTATATTATTTTTTTCAGTAATTAAAAAAGGAACATTTTTTGTAGTATTTCAACATTTTTAACGGTTTTGTTGATTTAAAAAAAAACGAAGAAAAATTATTTTTTATTTTAGAAAGTTTAACGAAGAATTTTGAACACCCTGTATGATTTAAGATTACGATATTTAGAGCAAAGTAAGTATGTATAGACTATCTAAAGCAAATACCTAATATAGGTAATATAGTTTTAATTTCTAGACAGTTCTTGTATGATATGAAATATTTTTTTAAGAAACGCTTAAAAAGATATATTTTTTATTTATTTATTAATATGTCTGAAACTATCGAAACATATTTACTAACATCTTAGGAATATGTAAAGTGATCTGAAAGGAAGCCAAAAATGCAATAACATACAGGGCGTTCCATAAAAAAAATCAACCGATCCACTCACTTTTGTGAGCCACTCTATAGAACATATATATTTATTTAGTTATAATATTTTCCTGAAATACATCCTAGTACATACTTTAGGTTTGCACTTAAACAAAATTCCCAATTTTTTTTATTCTAGGAGCTACAGATGACCGACGCACTATTGCCGTATTCTGTATAACACCGCCACTGGATATTTCAATACTACCACAATTTCCGACGAGAATGATGTGAGATTTTTGCTGAATTGCCCTTTAATACTAATTACTCAATTACTCCAATTGTTTCCTGCAAAAATCAGATATCTTCATTTAACAGTACATAAATGGCAACGTTATTTGGGAGCTGTCTTACTTTTGGTTTGCAACAAGAACCTGGACAACTGCTGAATCTGGTTACAGCAAGCAACATTTCTTAAAATGGAGCTGCTGGTTATTGCAGCCACCCCTTCAATTATCATTGAAATCGAAAATAAATACAAGTATAAATAATTAAAACAATTTATTATTAATAGAATCAGATATTGACACCTTCTAAACTATTTGCATAATGTTTCCACATATTCAAACCTACATCATACAGTGCATGCGACTAAAAATGTATGCAAATATTAATTTTTCTTGAAAAAAACGCAAAAAACATCGAGATATTATCATAAAATATTTTGCAATTAAAATCACATTTGTTCAGAATAACGTGATGCCTTTGTTTGATTTGGCTTGGTTTGGTTTTGCTTACATTTTTTATTCCTATAATTTTATTATAAAAAAACTATTATTGTTTCTTGTTTTAAAAAAATAAATGCATGTGTGTGGTTTCCGTTAAAAAAAAATAAACACGTTTTTGTCAGATAGCAAAGAAATATTATACAGCAAGAACGGTAAACTAATAGCAGATCTAATAGGATTGCTCTGTGGATTGCTCATCCTCATTTGTTGCTCATCCGTTGCTCATCCTCTTCCCGCGCTTCGGCAGACAGTTGTGACGTCATTGTAGTCCTTGTAATGATAGTCTGTATTATTGGTTGTCTATGATAAAGGTATAAAAATAACAGCTGAGAAATTTTGAGTTAATTATTTTGTCGATTTTAAATATGAAAAAGGTGTTTTTAAAGTTTTTAGAGTTATAGAATATATAAATACGTTCATTTTGTGTGGTGGACTGTGACTAAGTGTCTACGATATTGTTTATTAATTATTTTAAAGCAAAATATGGAAGTACTTTAAAAAGATAGCCTTCAGAAGGTGATGCTGGGAACTGCTGTTCTTAAAAATGCATTATCCGAGTATTTAATACGATTTATACAGTTAATTTTCAATATTGCATACATGTAAGGTGTTTAAATAAATAAACTAAATAATGAATGTTTTGCATACGGCAACCAATAATACACACACTATCGTGACAAGGACTACAATAACGTCACAAAGCGAGGAGTTTTCGCATGCACCTGGCAGACACTTTCGGCTGAATGAGCAGTCCTATTAGGTTAACTGTTCTTGTAGTATACGAGAGTTTCCTTTTATGACACAAGGCCTTGAATGACGACCGCGAGACGTCACGACCATCTGGTCGTGACGGCTGCGCGGCGGCTGTGACGCGCGAGCTAGCGAGAGGAAAAGTGATAGCGGCGGTGTTGCCACAGCTACCCCATTTGGGGTAGATTTACCCCTTTGTAAAGCAATGTAACCCCGCTATCTCGAGATAATCTACCCCGATGAAAAATAAGCTTGTGGAAACAGTGGGTAACTATCTCTGCCATACGCGGCTAAGAAAATCACTATAATAAACTTGATCACAGACTTGATACTGTACCAACCTTGATGGGAGGTAAATTTTCATGCATATTTTCATCGATAGATGTGCAGCTTCTGAAAAACGGTCTAGGTAAAGCATCTAACTCATTTACCAGCCCAGAATTAGAAGTTAGAGTTAGTAACTCGCATTTTCTTTGGAGGACACTGTCATATTTATTTCAATCCAATAATCAACGAGAATATTCGTGTAATTTAATAAAATTACTGTAAATAACTATAAATAATGAATTGTTTGTAATTGAGCTGTAATTTCTGTATTATTAATCCGGTTAATGATGGAGATAAACAATTGTGATTGATTAAAATTATATTAAGATCAAACTTTTGTTAACAACATTCTGAGAATTCGAATAATGAATTGAATAATGACAAGTGGCATCTGTTTATTTAGAGTGACAATTTGGTTATGTAAAATTTAGAGTGACAATTTTGATTATGCAAAAGAAATACATATTATATGAGTTTACTGGTTGCCTAACGAATAACATTAATTTAAAAATAAATCCCAACATGAATAATGAACAAAACATTTAAATAAAAACAGACCACAGACCACACAAAACAAATTAATTGTTGGTTAGTAGTAGGCAGAGATATTAGATGTAGGTAGTAGTATTTTGATTTAATGGCCATGCCATAACATGGCCATCACTGCCAGGGAATTATCGATTTTAATAAAAACTTTAATAACAACTAATTGTTCTCTATGCAAAATATAAAAGACACCCCTCGTAATAGCAGCACGCAACTGGGAATTATTAGCATCCGAATAGGACTCGACAATCTACAAAATTATCTTATTATGCAATAAATATTTAAAAATAATAAATTATTCGTAGACGAGGTAAATAAAACAAGATCCTTTAATGTGCAGCCTTAGATTGACAGGTTGTGCACCCCCGAAGTACTGAACCTTCCGCCGCCGCCGTCACTGCTTCGTATATTTCTCAGTAATATGTGAAGTAGGTCTACAAATCATCTGAAATTATTATTGCAAAAATAAACTGGATTGTTGTTACCGCGAGCGATAAACCGAAGTGTGAGAAACGAAGAATAAAAAGACGAAATGCCGTTAGTACTACGGCTTGCTTGGAACCTCATAAATATTACAATCGCTGGCGCTTATCAAACTGCACACTTCCTGTTAGTGCCACTTTTATGTGTACATAGGTACTCTTCTTTATTTTAATGTTCTTTTAATGTTAAGTTGTTTATCGACTGTTAATAAAATAGTGTTATTGATGTGTGTATGTGCATAATTTTATTTTATTCGCCATAAAATAGTAATTTAATACATATCTACTAGGAAACTTACTTTTTTATGTTCCAAAACGAATTTGAAAAAAAATATAGGCCCCATAAGAAAATTATTTGCACTAACTGGATTTTACTATTATTATTATTTCCGTGTATATCCGAGTTTCCGGGTAGTTTATCACCAAATCGAGCAATATTCTAGTGCGATTCATGTTAAAGTTTTCCTGAACAAGTTACAGTTACAGAAAGAATGGCAGAATGTTGCATTTTTGCTAATAAGTTGGATGGTAGGTCCAACTTCTTGAGGTCGTTTTTGATTTTGGTACAATTCCAGCCCAAAATGTTAGGGGCGTAGGGCGCAGCTCCATCTACTGCCAGTCTTCTGCCTATCAGAGTTTTTCTTTGTAGCTTTGCTGAAAATGTTCTTAATATAAGGAGCACACACAGGAGCTTACTGTCCAGGATTATTCCCAGATATTTGATTTTCTGTGATGACAATATTTAGCTACCATATTATTTATCACCAATTACTTTTTTCATTTTTTAGTATCATACTTCATCACAAAATTTTTTAAACGTAAGGTATTAGCCATTAATAAAGTTCATATTTACCTAAAGCTTCTGGTTTCTGAAGTACTCTTCCCAGCCTCAAATTCCTCGATCTTCTTCCTACATAATTATCCTCTTCCAGATCATGAAGTGAAGCTGGGTGAACCTGAGCCTGACCCCTTTGTTGCTGGTTATTGGGCAAGCTGATACCGGCTCGGACTGTCAGTGTTTCTGGCTGATATGAGCACAGCACCAAAAATCTGTAACAAATGAAAAAAAAAATAGAAAAAAATTATATTTATAAATATTTCATAAATAATTATAATTTAAGTTCAAGATCAAAAAATGACTAAAGAAGCTGAACAAATTAGGCAAAGATAATAAAGTTCTCCTACTCTAGGTGCCAGCTCACCAAGGGATAGAAGACAATGAAAATGCAAACGATCTAGCTAGAAAAGGAGCGAACACTCCACTAACTGGACCAGAACCGTGGAAGCCAACTCAAGTGGAATTCCCAAGTGGAAGCCAACTTAAAGCGGAACTCAAGAACCTGGAAAACTCCATCCGTAACCTCGAATGGGAATCCTCCAACGGTCTAAGACACTCAAAGAAATTTCTTAGAACTTACAACCGAGAAAAATCAAAATTTTTCTTGATTTAAGCAAGAAAAATTTTCGGTATTGTCACGGGGTTTTTCACAAGACACTGTGCAAGCACTCCTTAGCAAACACATCATTAGTTTGAAGGTAAGAAACAACAGCGAATGCAGATTCTGTGTGGAAGATGGGGAAACATCAGAACACCTCATCATTGAGTGTACCGAGACACCATGAACACTTCAGTAGATTGAAACTAATAAATATATTTGATATCTTTTGTGTCTGTAATTTTTAATTTGTGGCAAATTTATGTAACAGTTACAAAATAATAACATTTAACCTTAAATTTTAAAGATTATATACGTTCCAGATATATTATAACTTAACTATTATTATTCAGAAAATGTTTAGCTATTTAAGAAGAATAACAATCAATTAGTTTTGTATTTAGACCACATAGTAATAAAGTTTCTCAACTAGAACAACTATAAATAATGTTATGCTGCCATATATAAATACCTTCAGAATCATATTGTATTCAAAACATCGGCTCACTTTAATTGGTACTAATGAACACTTCAATTAAACTTCATTATAGTAGATCAATATTAATTGACCCTAGTGTTAAACTTTGTTTCTGTAGCTATTTATATTAAATTTATCTTGTTTCTACTGAATGGTATGTTAGTAGTTTAAATCATTTTCGGTTGCTTGTTGAGATTTAATAAATAATGGTTAATTATTGAGGTTTCTTAATAGTTTCATTGGCCTTTCTACATTAAATTTGAAATCTTCTCGTTTTACTAGAAAAAAATGTGTGGTTTGGTAAAGGAGTTTATGATTATGTAGTGTATACCACAGGGTCTTGAAGTAAACTTATCTAAAACGGAATACATGTGTGTTGGTGGTACAAAGGGGGTAAGATCTGATACTCGAAGAACATCATCAAATAATAAAGATTTTTTTCAAAAAATTCCAAATTTTCCAATTTTAATAATGTTTGAGTTATAACTCATCATAAAGTCTCAGGGCTTTGATAAAAGCCAGTATCTGAGACGGTTTTACGAAGGTTATTCCTATCCGATATCAGTCCTATCAAAGTTTATGGTACGAATGGTTGTGGTGTTTCCCTATTTTCGTAAGTCCTTAGAAGAAATTTCTTCAAGTGTCTTAGACCGTTGGATGATTCTCATTCCGAGTTAGGGATGGAATATTCCAGGTTCTTGAGGTTTGCTTTAAATTGGTTTCCATTTGGGAAGCAGAACGGTTCTGGTGCAGTTAGTAGAGTGTCCGCTCCTTTTCTAGTTAGATCGTTTGTTTTTCATTACCTTCTATCCCTTGGTGGGCTTCCACCTAGAGTAGGATGACTTTATTTTCTTTGACTAATTTGTTGAGCTTTCCTAGGCATTATTTGACCAACTTCGAATTGATGGTTACTGAGTTGATCGCTCTTAAAGCTGCTTGACCATCAGATAAGATGACTATTTCTTGTTTCCGACAGTTCTTATCAACTAATGATGCTAACATGGTTAAAGAAACACGCGCCCAAAAGTGTTTTGATGTATTGTGGTGAATTAGTGTTTTATTTTGCTGTTGTAACACCAAGGCTTTCAAACCCCCCAACTGTAATCATCCTTGGGTGATCGGAAACATTTCAATCTACCCTCGTAGCTCCGTTTTGTCTTTGTTCTGTCGTCTAAACAAACACTAAAATATCGTCGCCTATGCGTAGAAAACCTATAAAAACGGTCTTAATGCCTTTCACGTACCTACGTCTTCACCGGAAATCCACAGTGGCTACGAGCATATGGTTCGTTCGTGGCCATTTAAGGCGCACCGGCAACGTGGCAAAACCGGCAAACGGTCGCAATAAACTTTTTAAATCGATCTCATCGACGTCTCGTCCGCTTTTTCTACGGAGGCAATTAAATAACTCCCGGAGCGGGTTTTTGTACGGTCCCGCTTTGGAACCCAATGGGAATTTCTCTAAGGTACCATACTTCAATGGTCGAGAGTTTTAAATCGTCCATAGTTTGTACCCGTTGTTCTTCAGATTTTACTAGCATATCCCGCAGATTTTTCTATTTTTACATTATTTACCACTATTTTTTCTGAAGACTAACGGCACAGAAAATTAAAGATTTTCCATGATTTAACTAAGAACAATATTAGTTTAGTTTTAAATCTATCTGGTCTGTTCAACACAAAAAGACTCAGGGCAAAAACGCGCACAAAATTCATTACACAACTTCATTACGCTGATGACTGCGCTCTGGTTGCAAAAATATTAGGTACAGCATTTACAAGAAATGTTGAACATATATACCTGGGCATACGAGACTTTGGGCCTTAAGCTGAACATCGACAAAACTAAAATCATGTGCACTCCCCCGGAAAATCACAACGATGCTATAAAAATTGGAGAAGAACTACTGGAATATGTAGCGGAATTCAATTACCTTGGCAGTTTGATTTCGAGATCCGAGATTAATATCGACACTCAAATTCAGCACAGGATTAACAGCGCCTCAAGAGCATTCTGGAAATTTAAAGACAGGGTTTTCTACAATCATGACTTGAGCACAAAAACGAAACTTGCAGTGTATCGAGCAGTAATAATCCCCACCATGTTATATGGAAGCGAAACCTGGGTGCCGCGCCGTACCGGCGTACCGCCGACATATAAACGCAAGTTGTAACAGAGACACCTTAGATAACTCTTAAGAATCAAACGGTTCCATCATGTCTCAAACGTATCGGTCCTTAAAAAAGCTAACTGCAAAAGTATTGAAATCAGGATTACGAAATCCCGCTTAAAATGGACTGGTCACGTATACAGAATGCAAGAAAACCCTATTCCAAAATCTCTGCTTTTCGGTGAGCTTGTAGACGGTAAGAGGAGGCCGGGTGGACAACTCAAAAGGTACAAGGATATTTTCCACGAGAACTTGAAGGGGGTTAACATGCAGAATGAGTAAGAAGAAGCAGCTCACAATAGAACGCAATGGAGAAGATTTGTCAACTCAGTTAACATAACAAAAAGTAAAGAGGCAACAAAGCTATGAAATTTTTGAATGTGCGGAGTGTTGTAGACAGATAATAAAATCACGTATCGGGCTTTTTTTTAGATTGTTGCCTCTATCATTTTTTCATGTTATGAGTATACCCATATTTTCTCCTTATTACAGTTGAGGGTTGGAACCTTTGGTGTTACACAGCAATATAAAATTACACTAAATTACCACAATACACCAAAACACTTTTACTTTTACACTGGACGCGCATTTCGCTAACCATGTTAGCATCATCAGCAGATGATTATAAACTGTAGTTTATAATCATCTGCTGATGATGCTTCGAAACGCGCGTCCAGTGTAAAAGTAAAAGTGTTTTGGTGTATTGTGGTGATTTAGTGTAATTTTATTTTGCTTTTCTCCTTATACAAAGTCTATTAAGTGGCAATCACATAATGAATAAAACTGTACTTTTTTAACTTCACAGGTATATTTATTTCAATAAACATTGTTAAAATAATATCACTTAATTATGCCGGATCTTCGCTTTGAAGTTACTTTGTTGCTTCTTCGCGAGACGTTTATCTGTTATGTTTAAATACTGCTTTTTATGAAGGTATTTACAGATACTGCCTACCACACACACGTATAGCGGTTCGCGAGTCTAGCTCCAAGACGTGTTTAATAACGCCAGGGTACGATTTTACAAAGTAATAGTACTTGAATATTCGAACCTTCTTCTTCTATCTTATTAAAATAACACTGAAATAAGTGACGAAGAATTACTTGCTCACTTATTATTATTACTGTAGCGGATTCATTATTTTTTAGTTTTTATAACTATACCGGGTGCGTCTCGAAAGTGGCTCACTTCTATTCAACTTTTTATTTTTTCAGATAAAAAAACGATATTTTGTATGTTGGTATATGACATAAATTCGGATTGATTGACGTATTCAATTCTTTTTGGCCATTTCCTGTTTAACCGGAAATAACTACAGTTTTTGATTTTTAAATGGCACCCTCGGTATTTTTTTACTTTATTCGATAGAAAATGACACATATCATATGTCAACTTTTGACATATGTCGATAGATTGAACCAAGGCCAACTTGACCGTGTACGACACGTGTCACTGTGACAGTTAGTTTTGACGGAAGAAACGTCAAAAGTTGATATCGTCCTATCGCAACCAAATTTGGTGGGTAGGCTATCTGAGTGACGGTGAACGACGTTTCGTTTACATCTTCATCAGGGTGGGACTAACGATTTGATATTGAAGAAAAATGTGGGTCAATTTCGGCATAATTGGGAACGGGCTACAGGATGACGTCCTCGACGCCGACGTTTCGAACCGATGCCTCTAAATGGACGAAATCATCAGGATTTTTCTTAATTATGGGGTAGGGTTGGCAACGGTTTTATACCAAATGGTATAATTAGTATTACTTTGTATTTAACTTATCCAGTATTATACCAAATTGTATTAAACTATTAAATATCAAAACAGTGTCTCACCGCCTTTGTTATCGCCGACTCGGCCCGCGACGCGACGCCGAAAAATTGGCCACGCCCAATTTGGCCAATATCTTAGATCCCAGATTTGGTGGAAGTCGCTTAACGATACAGATAAAACCGAGGCCGTTTCGAATTTAGAATTTTATATAAAAGAATATGGATTTTGGGAAAATGAAGCACGACGTTCAAATATATTTTCTTCATACTTTAAATATATACAAAAAGAAGGCCCTTTTAAACCCTGTCTATACCGGGATGCCAAGAACACGTCCAATCCAGTCACGTGGTGGAAAATGTTCCAGCATTTTTGAGGAGTTTCAGACCTTGAAACAATAGCTATTAGAATATGGTCGGTTCCATCATCAAGTGCATCTGTTGAACGGGAGTTTTCCTGTCAATCTCGCATACATACCAAGGATAGAAATAAACTTTCTAACGAAACTGTTTGTGAGCTGCTTGCCGTAGAATACAATTTAAGGTTTCTGGAGCTACATGAAGAGGGCAATAATTTGACATCTTCACAAATCCAAAAGGGTAGATATATATTGACAATTTCCAATGTTTTTTCTTCTTAATTTTTATTTTTAGATGGAGGGGAGAGTTGGATAATGCCACGTTAGAGGAGGAGGAAATGGAATTGGATACACTCTCAGGCTGTAGCTTTCCAGAGACGAACAGTGTCAAGGGAGTTGAACTGAGTGACTTGGAAACGGAGATACAATACTCGGAGATTGAAGATGAAGACGATATGCCCCTCGCAGAAATTAGTACAAAACTTTTTTTATTCCAAGTCAAAAAAGCCAGTTTGACTTGCTTTGTTTTTACTTTTTTTTTAGAATTATAAATGTTTTTATTTTGTTTTATTGAATAAATCCTAAGTTTAGTTATAACATTATATATTTATTTTATAACAAAAAGCCTTTATCATTTTTTTAAATCGAAAATATTATATACATTTTGGTAGTATAATAAGGTATAAAACTTGGTATAAAACTAGTAAAAGTTAAATACCAGATTTTGCCAACCCTAATTATGGGTCGATTGGAACGAAACTCGGCACGTGGATAGAGGTACCCGAATATAGTCCTCAGACGAACAGACGGACAGACGAACAGACAGACAGACGAATGTAAGAAGTTTTACTTCAAATATGCGCATATAGTGTACACTTGCACACACAATTTTTTATACAAAGAATACTTGATATTTTTAACCAAAAAAATCTTTCTTTCGTCAAATAATATTGGTGCTGCTAAATTAATACGGTTTCACTTAACGCACGTTTTGTTTATCAAATTAGAAAGCTAACACATATTTTCTATTAATTGCTTGACCTCCCCAATAAACTCTACATTCTCATTCGTTTTTAATTTCAGCTATCAAGGATGATTTATTTGTCGAAGAAAATTGTTTCGATGTTTCTTCGTTTTATGCTCTAGTTACTACTCCTTTCCGGTACTTTTTGCTACTATACAATATTTAATAAAAATAACATGTTATGTTGTTGTTATATGTTATTTTAATAATTAGAGCTATACTTATTTTGATTTTTTAACTACAGTTATATCCCCGGATTTTTACAAGAGGAAAAACTTTTTTATTATTGACATTTTGAGAAAAATGAATTCTTCATAAAAAATTTTGCTTGTTCTAAAATGGTTTACCTCGTTTATATTTTTTCAAATTTCTATACTGTTTTAGAAAAAAAAAATAAAAAAAAAACATGAAAATATTGTTGAATTTTTATAATACCAGTCATCTTAGGGGTTTCATCTCGGAATTCGAGATACCCGGCTGTAAACTCGTATAAACCTTTATTTTAACATCCTAAAACATGTCTTAAAATCTACATATGATGAGCGTGTGTGCGACTGGTAGATAGCTGAGGTCAAAGGTCAAAAAACCGATTTTTTGTGCATTTTTTGCAAATATCTCGTTCCCTTTCACATTTACACTATTTGTATTTATTATAAATAATGTAGAGGATAAAATTCTCTACAACTTTTTGTTTCAAAAATTTTTTTGTACCTCAAACCGTTTTTGAGATAGAGGGCGGTGGGCGCTCAGTCTTTAATTATGTACGGTATCATTCAAGTTCAACCTGTAGTCTCGGTTAAAAACACGCCGGCGCGGCGCCGTATAAAGTCCGTTAATTATTGAAAAATATATAATTATAAATAATTTACATTTTTTTATAAAAGATCATATTGAATATAATAATTTTGCTGAAAAGAATTTGCTGAACATAATATTCTGCAACTGCGAGAATGGTTGTGGTTCGCGATGTGGATGCAGGAAATCAGTGTTGCCGTGCTCTTTAGCTTGTGGCCAGTGTAATGGGCCGTCGTCTCAATGCTTCACCCTATCAGAGTAATGTCAATGAAGATGGTACATTTGACCCCGAAATCCTAGAAGACTTGGAGACAAATGTCGTTGAAGATGAAAATGAAGAAGAATTTGAAATTCCACAACGACCAGACGACGATGAAGAAGAAGAAGAAGAAAACTAAAAATAAGAACATGGAGTTCTTTTTATTTTTATTCAATTTTTTTAATTTCAACCATGAGAAATGTATGAAATCGTATTTTTTAATAGACATATAAATTAAAAATGTATTTCTTGTCTTTTTATTTACTTAAAATGTAATTAGTGCCTATAAATCTAACTATAATTAAAATGTAATTACGGTATTTCTGTTAATAATTTTCTAATTGTACAAAGAGGTAAGTGTTATTAAATGAAGATATACTTAATTTATGAAAAAAATTATTATATTCAATATGATCTTTTATGAGAAAATGTAAATTATTTATAATTATATATTTTTCAATAATTAACGGAGTTTATACGGCGCCGCGCCGGCGTGTTTTTGACCGAGACTACAGATTGAACTTGAATGATACCGTACATAATGAAAGACTGCGCGCTCACCGCCCTCTATCTCAAAAACGGTTTGAGGTACAAAAAAAATTTTTGAAACAAAAGTTGTAGAGAATTTTATCCTCTACAATATTTATAATAAATACAAATAGCGTAAATGTGAAAGGGAACGAGATATTTGCAAAAAATGCGCAAAAAATTGATTTTTTAACCTTTGACCTCAGTTATCTACAAGTCGAGACATGTTTTAGGATGTTAAAATAAAGGTTTATACGAATTTACAGCCGGTAATCTTGAATTCCGAGATTCCTACCTGATTTCGACTAAGATGACTGGACTAAGTCAATAAATATAAAAATATATAAATAGCTTAAATAAGTGCAAATATTTTTAGGGGTGGTATATTTCGATCCCAGGAACATGTTTATGAGATTTTTTCGCCAAAAAAATTTTTTGAAAATTTCGAATTTCGATAGTTTTTTTAGTATTTTAGTTAAAAACCATAATTTTTTAATAATATAAGAACATAGATAGTAGATTAAATTTACAAGAAAGAAAACCCAGACCAGTGGTTCTCAAAATTTAAGCAAAAAATAATTTCTTTTGAAAACCTTCAAAGTAAAATAACTCGGTTATTTTGTACTTTTTTGAAACACGGTAAAGAGTTTCTTTTATTGAGATCTATTAACCATGAAAATATTTGCACTTATTCAAGACTCACCCTGTATAGAATGTTCAATCTCCAAGTTATTAGATTATAAAAAGATATGACGGATATAGAGGTAAGAAAACCACAATACCTCACAGGACCATCTTATAAAACTTAGTCTAAACTATTTAATTTAAATATCAGTACCGTGTCATGTCCCTTTATAAAACATTCATGCAAATACATTATATCTTTTTTGTCGCAATTACCTTCGAGTGCTATGAGTCAAAATGGGCAAATTCTCCTGCACCAATACAAAAGTGGCCACAGTAGTCTCGTTCACTTGGCTGCCGCATTCTATGTGGTTTATTCTGAGGGTGTAAGTGTCTCTGGCACTATTGGGTTCACCATCTATGCCACACCTTTCACCATCCGCTGCTTCTACTGCGATTCTGCCCCCGAAGTACGGTCCTGTGGAAACTTCGATTTCGCTGGCGTGAGGTAGGCACTGTGTCGCTTTTGCCGAAACTGTAAATAAATGATCATTTTTAGTATTTCTGTCAATAATTTAGATATTTTAGTAATTAACTTGTCAACTGTATCAGTATTAATAGAAAATGTACTAGTGTCTATTATTATACAACTTATTTTAGCGATAGGAACTATCGGGAACAAGAAATAGCCATCTAATCCGATAATCAAGGCCCAAGAACCCTTAATGCGATTAATTCACTAACCATCAATTCGAAGTTGGTTAAATAATGCCTAGAGAATGAGTGTTGAATGCCTAGACAAAGGATTTATTGGCGGATCCAATTTTTTTGGTCATTTCTGACTACAAATTTTGGTTTTTAAATGGCACCCTCGGTATTTTTTTACTTTATTCGATAGAAAATGTCACTCTGAAATGAAATTAAAATGACATCAGATTTAAACTTTTGACATTTTCACTTTAAAAAAAATCGTATTTTAAATTTCAATCTAGAGTGCCATGGTTGTTTAAAAACAATAATTTTTAAGGAGCCTTGGAAAAATAGATTTGATCATCTAATGTTTTTCGTGTCTTGTTCTGGCCGGTTAAAAGAGGCCTAAATCGTATTTTTCATCATATCTCAATTTCTTCAAATGGAACGAGTGTGGCTCTTTCAGGGCCGGCGGAAGGGAAATATTGAGACCGTGCGAGTACACTAACTGCCCCCCCCCCTTCCTAATAGTTATTATAATTCTCTCTTTCCTTCAATACTATACTTTAGCTACAACTAAGCATATTTATGCTACTTTAACAATAAAGTTTCACTTAAAGATCCTTCAAAATTCTTCTCTTCGTTTAATCTTAGTCTAAGTTTTTTCTATACTGGGTACTTCTCGAAAGTGACTCACCCCTGTAAGTTTTTTTAATTTTTTTTGATAAAAAACGAAATTTGGTATAAACGTAATATTTGGTATGTTAGTATATGACATAAATTAGGATTGATTGACGTATTCAATTGTTTTTGGTCACTTCCTATTTTACCGGAAATTCCTACAACTTTTGATTATTAAATGGCATACTTCGTATATTTCTATAACGATAGAAAATGACACTCTGAGTAGAATGATATATCATATGTCAAATCTTTTAAATTTCAATCTCGAGTGCTATATCTGTTATAAAACCACTAATTTTTAAACAAGGAGCCTTGGAAAAATAGATTTGATCGTCTAATGTTTTTCGTGCCTTGTCTTGGCCAGTTAATAGATGTCCAAATCGTATTTTTAATCATATGTCAATTTTTTCAAATGGAAGAAATGTGGTTCATTAGCATATTTGGAAAAAACATTTTTTACGAATAATTATTGTATCGCACACTTGATATTTCGAGTCAAATTTTTTTTTCGCGAAAAAACCCTGATAAGACGTGTTTCTGGGGTTGAACTAAAATACCAGTTAAAATACTTGCACTTATTTCAGGGACACCCTGTATAGTCACTTACTAGCGAAAAATTATTCCATTATTTCACTCGATTTTTGACCGAGATCTACGGCACGCTACACAACTAACTACTTTTTTTCGATAAATTGTAATAGTGTTACTGTTAATTTAAGTTCTGCCACAATTTCCATCTAGATTTACTACCTTTATACAAGTATCAGTAGTAGAATAAATAATTAATAACATAAAAAAACCTTAGTAAAGGCTGACAAATCCACAAAATTTCAAATCAAATTCAAATGTGTCAAATGAATCGTCAAGGATCCCCACCCTAGAGTCCTCTTCCACCCACCATGCATGAATATATGGGTCAAAATCACGAAGGTGCGAAATTCGCTTCGCCACAGTATAATTTGCAAAAATCGCATAGTTATTGAATAACTAAATTTTGATAAAAATTTAATTTATTCGTTTTATCTGCACATTATTTAATATACTTTAAATGTAAATAATATTTAAAGTTATTTCAAGTTATGTACATAAAAAGTCATTTCGAGAACGCATCCTAAAGTAACGATCCCTAGAAACAATTACTAAGAACGTCTATTAATTAAACAATATTACACATATTCATAACTTATGATCGAATAGTTTTATCTAATATTAACATTTTATAATAAAAATACAAACATCATTTTTTTTCCAATATAAAGAAGGAAAAATATTTTGTCCGGAAGTGATTGCATCATTTCAGTGAACGCAGTTTTAACTAGCCAAAAATAATTTATTAAGAACGCTGCGGGTTGGCGCTAGTGTGCACTCTTTGTATATGGCGATAATCAAGGCGGCTGTCGCGTGTATTTATAGTAAATATTAATACAAATTAGGTAAGTATCTTCTTATTTATTATTTATTGAGCGTACATCAATAGTTCATCATCCCGGGAATGCCTGTATTAATTTGCAATATCAGAAAAATGATTATTTCAATGAAATATAGCAAAAGTAACCTCAAATATTTTATGATAACTGTCTCAGATGACGTATAATGATGGCTGCTGTTAATAGAAAACGCATTTTTATTTGAAAACGTCATTTCGTGAACGATCATTTTGGGAACGTTCCCGGACATGATTATGACGTTCCCGGAATGACAGATTTGTTCAATTCGGAACAATATTGTAATGAAATTACTTGAAAATGATATTTTACTTTAATGATATTTTTTTGTAGCAATATGGAGTCGGACAAGACCGAAAAAATGAAAAAAAAGCTCAATAAAACAACTGAAAAAAAATAGTGCAGCCTACTTGCGGCAAAGAGAACAGGCTAACGATCGAAAAAGAAAGTTTTTAGATAAGATGACAGATGAACAGCGAGAGATTAAGAGGGCTAAAAACCAGGTATTATGAATATCACAAAAATTATCTGGCAAAAAGGAACAGAAGTTATTGTTCAAGTGTATCGACATGACCGTTTTCTCAAGGAGTTAAAACTATCCATGGTTTCTAATAATTTAAACGCGACCTCAGTTCAAACCAAGACCGCTTGTATATCTTCGATATTATCTTCTGAACTTATAGAAGGTCCCATAGATGTAGATGATTTAGGAGACCTTTTGAAAGTCAAGAAGAGATATAACATTTATAAATCTATTTATGATTCATCTTCATCCGATGAAGACGATTTAATGACTATTTCAGCTCGTCAGCAGACTGAAAGAGATGCATGCAACAATGTTCAAGCTGGTACATCTTACGGGCAAGACAAAGAAAACTTACATCCAAATTTAATATCATCTGGGACATTTCTATTAATTAAAGTACCTACCCAAAATAAGAAACTTATTTACAGATATGTTGCCACTTGTCAGACAGGTGTTGACAATGATGATGGGGAAATCCTAGTAACTTTCTTGAGATCTGCGCGTAACGGTAGCAGAAAGTTTAAACTACAAAAAAATGATGTGTCTTATATTACCTTTGACCAAATAATAACTATTATTCGAAAGCCACGAATGAAGGTAGAGCATAACCAAGAGTATTATTACTTCGATAAGGATGTTGATATTTTTAAAAAATTCTAATGTTTTTGTTACTACAAATACAATTTGTTACTAGAAATACCAATAATATCAAAAATAAATAACTAAATAAATTACACTGTTGATTCATTATTTCAAATATCCCTTTATTAAACTTCCATGCATCGATTTATATCATATTTGCTTTCATTGTAATACTATTACCGTCATTCAGGAAATAGCTACGTCATTCCGAGAACACGTGATCATTTTCGGGAACACTACTAAATTAAGGAAAACTTAGATCATTTTAAATATATTCCTAATAAAAGATTATAATTCATTAATAAAACTTAATTCTGTGTATGTAAAGTAAATTTTATTACGGAATTCATTTGGTATTTTAACAAAACTAAAATTGTATACTTAAAAATAGTAACTTATCTCAAATGTAGACGTATTTTTCTTCTTACCGTTTTACTATTACTATATTACACGTTTAGTTTAATTTGATTTTAATAAACTTTTAGGTGTGTCACTGTATAATGAAAATAAAAACCATTTATATTTTTTTTCACATTTCATGAATTTTATAAAAACGTTCACGAAATGACTGATTCTCCTATTCAATCTCCTTAAAAACCATATTTCAAAAAAAGTATATTATTCTGTGCTTGCACTATTGCAGTAACAATTCTACACAAGTTTATCGACAATTTCAGCTAATTTACATAATTCTAGTTTATGACATTTTTTTTTACAAAATCAAATTTGAAATTTTCCACCTTGATGATTTTGACCCATATGATAGCATTATACTCCTTTTTTAATATTTTTATTCAAAGAATAAACCATATGCGAAAATGTCAAAAGTTGACATATGATATGTCATTCTATTCAGAGTGTTATTTTCTATCGTAGTAGAAATATACGGAGGATGCCATTTAAAAATCAAAAGTTGTAGTAATTTCCCGTAAAACAGGAAGTGACCAAAAACAATTGAATACGTCAATTAATCCTAATTTATGTCGTATACTAACATACCAAATCTCGTTTTTTCATCTGATAAAATAATCAAGTTATAGGGGTGAGCCACTTTTGATCAATTATTTCGTGCAGAATCAGTTTATGATCAGATACAGTTCTGTCGACTTCAAAATGAGAAAATTCTACGATTCTGCTACCATTTTTCGTGGTATTACTACATATTCAATCCAGGACAATCAAAACCACCAAAATATTGATATATTTTCCCACTACTGTTAATAAATTAATTTAATGATAATAAGGATATCGGGATCCTCTTCAGCTTCTTGCGAATGTATATTTGCCTCATATAATTTTTAGGGCATATCAACCATTAATAAAAAAGGGTGTGAATAGTAGACAAAGTGCGATTTTGAGCGGTCAGTCTAAAACTGCCAACCCAAAACAGTTTGTTTAGACAAAATTTATAAAAACAAGAATTATAGAAAGAAGGGTTATTTACAAAAAGTTGATATCTTTTCAGTTATAAATAAAATACCACGAACAAATATTTTTTAAATATTTTAGTAGCTGTTGTGGCGCCCCTCGCTTCCGGCGCCCCGTGCA